TCAAAAATCTTGATTACTCGAGTAACTGAACTTTTGAGTAATCATAACTTCTAATTAATCGAATAACTAAGTTATTTACTTTATGATTAACTAAAATTTTGAGTAATCAATTAATCGCACAGCCCTAGTTAATAGTTTTATTGTAATTTTTGGTAATGATTTCATGCCACATTTGCAATGTATGAATACTATGTAAAAGAAACCCGGTTTATCCGGTTGTTTCTTAATTTCAAAATCGGGAACTGGTTTTTTCAAATTGCAATTTAACGAATGAATCGAAAACCGGGTCTGTAAAAAGGGCGAATAATCGAACATCCTACAGAGAATGTAATCATTTATACAAGCTTCGATGTTTCCGGGGCTTAGGAAGCCCATCAGTCTCACCCCTTTGTTGGACACCGAATTTTTTGAGTATTTGACCGAACAGGACTATAATATCGGGTGCAACTTTCTTATGTGAACAATAGGCACTCAATAGGCCGCGGATTTTTTTATTTACATTTTAAATTTAAGTTCACATGCATATGTATATCGGAACCGACGGAGCTTAAATACATACATAGCATATGTTTACATTGGGTGTAGTCGAGATATTTTGAGGCCATAAGAGCCGAGGTTGTCTAACCCATATATTTTTATTTTTATGTACATAATTTCTTAAAATTGTTTCAAATGTGATAAACCGTAAAATAGAAGTCGCTTATTCCTTAATTTGCAGCGAGCGTATTTTATTTAAAAATTTAGCACATTTGAGACTTTTTTAACTAGCTACATAAGTACCGAAAAAAAAAATTAAAATTGGGTTAAGCCACTTCTGTTCGCACGGCCTCGTTTATTTGAGTGTTTATGCAACTTTCATCTATTTTGCTTATTTTCAACATTTTTTCTGTAGTAAATAGATACGCACTTCTTCAAAAAAGTTCCATAAACTATTAATTACAAAACTTTCACAAAGTCACTAATAGTTTTAGGTGTAAAGTTTGTAATTATTATAAAATCGTAAGGTTGTTTGCACCAATCAACTTTAGCAGCCGCAAGTCGTTTGTGTATTAAATTCAGTGCAAAATCAGGTTAATTGCAATGAGTGACCAATCCATGGAGAGAAACTGCAGCCTTTGAACGGCTAAGGCCAAAACTTAAGAAAGTTTAGAAATGCAATATTATTGACCTTCGCAGTTTGCGCGACATCATTGTGCGTATATATGCATGTTAGGGTTGTCCTTAAAGTATCCACATCTAAATTTTGTATGGGGCACCCCCTTCGTCTTTATGAGAGCAACAGAAGCCAAATCAACAATCTTTAGCATTTTTGTCTGTATGTTTGTACGTGCATGCAAGGAATCAAATACAGTTTACACCGATCTATTGCTCGAAATATTGCTTAAAATATGAAAAAAATTAGGTAAAATCATAAGATAAACTAAATATTGCAGTATGGATGTCAAAAAAAAGGCTCACAGCCGGAACAATTTTTGTGGAAGGTTGCCACCTGCTTGAAAATTTTAATTAAATTTAATTATTAAGATAAATTAAATATTGCAATATGGATAACCAACTAAAGAGGGTTACGAAAGTTTACTGGCGAAAATATTTTTGTGGGGGGTTGCCACCTGTTTAAAAAAGTTAATTCAGTTAAATTTATATGATAAGGCAAATACTGAATTAGTACACCTTTGAAGAAAGTGCGCGATATGTAGACTCAAGTTATAAGATTATAAATTAAATTTCCAGCAGAAAACCGATACTCTACCTATTTTCTAAATACCTTCGAAAATATATTAAAAACAAAATAAAAATTTAAAATAACGATCAAAAGTGTATCCAAAAGATAAAAATCCAAAAATATCGATTATAAAAATCATAAAATAACGGTTAAATGTGACCAATGCGTCCTCTGTTTGTCGAAATATTATTTACATAAAAAATGGCAGCTTCATACGCAATTAAGCAGGTATCCTTTATTAAATAACAAAAAAAAATAAAAAATAAAAAATAAAAATTAAGTTGCTTTTTAGAGAGAAATTTGGCCAAATTTCCCATAGTGCATAGTGAGAGATAATAGAATTACCTTCAAAATAGCAAAAAATTATCGAACAAAACAGGTTATATTTTACCTAAACTAAACTATACTATTTAATAGAGCCTTAAATTTCTTGCATACCATTTTTTTTATTCCGGACCAAATTTTGCGGCTCGCTTTGGAAAGCAGAAACTTATGTATATTTACGACGCATCCTAATGTAAATACTAACAGCTGTGACCGCATATTGTTCTTGTCTGTCACTTTATTGAGTTTTTTGTTATTGTGTCCTTCATTATCTCCCTGAGCGTCAAATATTGGCAGCCAAGGAATAAATACCACTGATTGAATGAAATGAATATATTGAGTTGTTTTGGTTATTATATTCAAATTTTCTTTCATAAGTTTACAGTTCATGATTTTACGCTAATCCCAAAGCAATAACTAAAATAAACCCTTTCATTACAGCGATTATATTCACTCATCCCTATAGTGCTGCTTGTTCTCAAGTGAAAGTTTGTAGATACTTTTCAAGCTACATAGATTATTCTGAAATTCGCAAACGCAAGTACGTGCATACTTACATACATACACATGTGCGTACATATTTACTCATATACAGTAATATTGCTAATGGTAATTTGTATTATTATTTTTATTTTTTTTTGCTCCCCAAACGCTTTATATTTATTTTGATTCTCTGTCATGCAAAGGTCAGCAAAAGTTACGAGCGTGTTTATGCTCGCATGCAACTATGTATTCTTTAAAGTCATCGTGTTGTTCTTGCAACCAGTGTGGTTTTCGGTTCATTTCGTTTTTTATTTACTTACTTATATTTTTTTTTTTTTTTTTCTGTTGGATTAACTTTTGTATCCACTCAAATAAATACGTTGCCAAAGTAGACAAATCCACTGGAG